TGTAATCTCTTAGCCGGGCGGTGGTGGTGTTGCTGCGCACCTTTAATCCCAGCAGAGGCAGGTGGATCTCTGTGAGTTCAAGGCCAGCCTGTTCTACAAAGCTACACAGAGAAACCCTGTCTTGAAAAACCAAAAACACAAGATGTAATCTCTATGGTTCATGTTGAACTTATTGTCTGTTTTCTCTGAAGAGATGAGGTCTCTGCTTTGCTTGCTACTGTCTCCTCACACTTGTATCACAGCAAGATAATTGTTGAGTAGATGAATTATGGAAGCTTTTAGTGAGAGAGAAGAGAGAGTAGAGTCTTAGGGAGAGATGAACAATGGATGGCTGGCACTGGAGGTTGGACCAGTCACTTTATTCCTGTCCTGGATGTTTGAACTCCACCAGTTTTGACAGAGTAAGAGTTTGGCTCTGCCTAATGGTTCTGCTGGATTGTGGGGGTGCTCAGGGAGTCGGAGGCACCAGGGGAAGGAGGCAGGAGGACTTCAGCTTCACTGAAGACTGGGGAGTGTGTACAGCCGTTGAAGGACAATGCTTTTAAAGTCCCCATTAGGGTTCTGGATTCTGGGGAAATTAGCAGGTCCCATTACATGACTGTCAGGTGAGTTTTTAGAACGTTAGGAATCGTTAAAGGGAAGGATACCACTCAAGTCAGTTTTCTTGTCTTTTCTTTTTCTTAATGGATCAGGCAGGAACAGATCTGAAAGGAGGAGAAGAAACCTGACATTCCATGAGAAGTTACCCATTGTGATTGCCACTTCTGAGGCTTTTCTTTTTTGCAGGTTAAGTAAGCAAGGGGCATTTTTGACACAGCTGCTGTGACTTTGAACACAGCTCAGATGTCTTCAGAATAGTGACAAGGAGCTGCTGTGTGTGAGAGGGAGGGTTCCTGTGCAGCGGCTCCACTCAAGTTTCTTTGGATCTCTATTTGGAAGAGCCTCACCCTTTACAGTTATGCAGAAAGTGAAGCAAAGATACGTAATTTATCTTTCATTAGTTAAAACGAAACTGCATTGTTTATTGGTGGCATGTCTCGGTGTGCTTGTGGAGGTCAGAGGAGTCTGTTCTTTCCTTACACTACATCTTTGGTCCTGGGGATAGAGTTCCCTTTGTCAGCCTTGGTGGAAAGCGCCTTTACCTGCAATGAGCCAGCTTGCCAAATCCATTAATTTACCTCTAAATGAATACAAACATTAGTAAAAGCAATGTTTGTGTGTTTTGGTTATGGGTGTTGGTGTTAGTGGTGGTGGTGGTGGTGGTGGTGTGTGTGTGTGTATATGGAGCCTACAGGTCTATGTAGGGCACCTTCCTCCATACCTTTTCACACAGGAGTTCCCTAACTGGATTAGACAGGCTGGTCTACAAGGCCCAGGGACCCTCCTGTCTCTGCTTCCCCAGTGCTTGGATGATAGTTGTGAGACACCGTGCTCAGCTCTTTCCATGTGTTCTTGGGATTGAACCTAAATCTGTATGTTCAAGTGGTAAGCACTTTACCAGCTTCTCACCCCCTGTATGTTTCATTTTTGATTGCTTTTTTAAAATGTGATTTCCACATGAAATAAGCTTGCCTAGAGGCGCATGTCATGACATGAATTGGGTGTCTAATTTTGTTCTATAAGGACATACTTTTCTTTGTTTTAATCTTTCAGTTTGTTTTTGGTTGAGTAGAGGGCAGGGGCATTGGAGAAAGTGAAATTGTGGAATTAATTAGGGCTCAGCTTTCTGCTGAGGTACTTAGGCTTCATCCAAAGAGCAAGTGGGAACCACACAGGGTTTTAATTAGAGGAGTGACATGAAGCATGTTCACGTTGTAGAGATTTGCTGTGGCTGTTACTTGGATTCTATACTGGATTAAAGGAGAGAATTAGAAAGAGTGAGCGGGACTGGCTTTGGAGGCTTTTGCATTAATTTAACAGAAAGCTAACGACGATAGACAGGACATGACATAGTAGGACTAGATGAACGAACAATCTGTGGAAGATGTAACCATAACTCAACTTTGTATTTACGTGCATGAATTTCTGGGAAGGATTGTTTTGGTTCATTTTCTATAACAAAATACTGAAGGCTGGGTGGCTCATAAATAAGGGGGATGCTGGGGCTGATACTGAAGGCCGGGGCTGGAACCTCTTGGCTTCCAGCAAGGACCACATATAGCATGTATGATGGAGAAGAAGGAGGCATAGTGGTTGTGTGCAAAGGGTTCCCAGAACATGAGGCACCTTCTTACAACAACCTATTCTCTCAGTGGGCAAACCAGTTTTCATGAGAAAAACCTTAGTTCCCAGCGACTTATTTAGTATATTCATTCATTGGTTCATCATGCACTTGTGGCATGTGTGGTCTCATATGTGTGCACTGTGGAGTGTACAGTCTCATATGTGTGCATGGAGATCAAAAGGAGCATCTCAGTCATTCGAATCCATCACTCTCCCCCTCATTCTCTTGAGCCAGGATCTCTCGCAGAACCTAGAGCTAGGCTGACTGCCAGATATCCCAGACACCCTCCCATCTTTGTCTCCCAGAGCACTAGTGTTATAGGCATGCATTATACTATGCCCAGCATTTTATGTGGGTGTTTGAGATCTGAAATTATGTTGCCATGTTTGCACAGCAGATGTTCTTATCTGCTAAGTCATCTCTCTATCCATGACTTGTTTAGCTTTTACTTCATTTTTTAAACGATCCTATTAATTCTTTGAGAATGTCGTATGATATATTTTGACCATATTTACCCCTACTCCCTCTCTATCTCCTCTAATATACATCCTTTATCTCCCCACCCCAACACACTCTAGGAGAAGACTGACTCCCCATCCCTGAGAAGCCATTAATGATAACAATTTCCTGGTTTGGCGTGTGGAGCTCATAAGGCCATCTCATCTCCATGTTAGAATGCTGACTGGCTTGATCTTGTACAAGTCTTCTATAGGCAACCACAGCCCTGAGTTCATAAGTGAAATGGCCTTGTCATGTCTTGAAGATACTTTTGCTATAGTCCTCCTTAACCTCTTACAGTCTTTCTGCTCATTTTCTGTGATGGTCCCCAAGAGTGCTTTCTGTCTCTTTCTCTGAGTTTCTCTATCTAGTTTCAAAACATTTACAAGACAAAACTTGATCCTCTTCAAGCAGTTGTGCCCAATTGTTCATTCCTCAGGGCCTGTAATATATCTCTGTGTTTTTTCTTTATGTACTTCTTATTCTAAATACTTCATATACATGGAATCAAATAATTTTTGACAAAAATATTACATTTAACAGGATATTTTCAAGTTTTATCTATACAGCATATGCCAGTCTTTCCTAGGGTTTGTGGCTATACATAATCTTTCTGTATATGGATTTATTACAGTTTATTGATGGTCATTTTGTGTTTTGGTCTGTTGCCTGTTGTGGAGAATGTTTCTGTGACTATGCATATATACTTGAGCAATTGTATTTGGTTGCTTTTTGTATGTTTCTAGCCATGGAATTGATGGGACCTAGGTTTTCCAAAATTCCATTTATTCATATAATTGCAATTGAAAAAAATACCACAGGAAGTTGATTTATAAAATATCAACTCATGTTTCAACTCATCCCTTGAACACTTTATGTGGTGGTTTTTTTTTTAAGAGATTTGTGAAGCCACCACCAGGTGGTAACTAAATATCTCATTAACTATATATGTACTCAGAATGTACTTGTGTGTGTATATATTTTCAAGAGAGAAATTCTCAAGAGAATTGAAGTTTAGCTCTTGTAAGAGAGCACATGTAGGTACATACTCAGATAAACTGAGACATCTAGTAGATAGAGGCTAGGAATGAAGTTGACTAGTTTAATTTTTCTGAAGTAAAGATATGAAAAAGAGACAAAATAATGATGTCAACTAAGATCACCCTGGAATAAATCTTACAGCTAGCTGATTTCAAAATTAATAATGTAATTTCAAAATCAAATTTTGTTCAACTCCTAATATCTGCCATTTAATTTACAATTTACTTTTTTAATTGTGTTTCGATACTCAGGGATATTATTGTGCCTGAAAGAAGATGATCTCCATCATGGCAAATGACTCAACTTCCTTGTGGATCATTTTGACTTTTATTCATTCATTATAGATCAACTAGTTTGTAGAGAGGTGGGGTCTTGAGACATTTTCTGTGAAGTTTTGTTGATTTAAAGCAACGTGCATCTTATGCCATCCACTGTGTCATTCTTTCTTGGGGACTTTCTCCTACAAGAGTCATGGCACTAGGATTTTACAAGATGTCAATCTACTGAACCCCCCAAACACCACTGCCTACACATTTGGGGCAGAAGTAATTCCTGTTGAATGTCTGTTAAGTGCTGTGTTTATTTGGGTTCCCTAAAGTCCCAACAGCCAGCAATGCATATCTGTGTGTTTGCCAACTTCAAGTCCTGGGCTCTGTCCACCATTTCATGGCTTCTTGCTGATGAGGTTTTACCTCCTGTACTTGTGGCTCACCACGCTGTGGCGGGGAAGTGATGCTGAGCATGCCTCTGGGTTCAGCAGGAAACAGGACATAGATTGGTTAGCTTTGTGGGTTTCATAAGGACAGAAGGGGAGTGGGGGCAGGCACAGAACCTGCTGTATATTAATCAGCCCTAAGCTGTATCTTGTCAGTTCTTTTTTGTTATCTTTTATTTATTGAGACAAGGTTTTTCTGTGTAGCCCTAGTTGTCCTGGAACTAGCTCTGTGGACCACGCTGGCCTTGAACTCACAGAGATCTGCCTGCCTCTGCCTCCTGAGTTCTGGGATTAAAGGTGTGCACTTCCATGGCTTGGCTCTCACGTTACTGCTTATGAAAAGTTCTCATTTATGTTTTTACTAGTTTCTCCCATAAACTGTACCCAAGTCCATGGCTAGTTAATGCTGCTTCACGAACATTCTACTTCATTTCACTTTCACTCTCTCTAGTTCATGCTGTCAGTATGAGGAAATCCATCATCTGAGCATTTATTACTGTGTGTGCTATGTGTTTGTTTCAGGCAGAGAAAGCTGATGGATTTGTCAACCTGCCAGATTTCACAGTGGAAAGAGCCTCTGAATGCAAGAAAAAACAGTGAGTCTTTTCCTTTTTCTCCCCATGAAAGCCCTTGGCCAGGATCATAGCCATTTTCAATGTTCACCTAGTAATGTGTTGATTTGGAAGTGGATGAAGGTACAGTTCAAATGTCTGATAATTTTGAGCATTGTGGGTTGGCACTGTAAAATTTATAGAAAATGTACATAGAAATGTTAACTTCTCATTTTCTGGCATGTCCACTCAGGCAGTGCATGAGTTTTAACTGCTTTACCACCTGTACCCAACACACACAAAGGCAAGGGTATCAATGTGAAGGTTTTGGCCTTCACCAGAGTTGTAGACCCTACTACAGCAAGACTGGGTCATCTTAGTTTTTGGTACCAGTTATTAGTACCAGCCTTGGCATTCGGTGCTCTGATGCACTGGGTTGGGATTGTATCCTGTTGTAGTATAAGTATGAGCATTGGTGGGGATGAAGTAGGCTCAAGCTCGAGGTTCCTGTTCTGCTAAGAAGAAGAGAGCCTGGAGGGTCTGGAAACAGCCAAGAGCTCCCTAGAGAGCTGGGTATCCACTCTGGTCACATGACCATTTCAAGACAGCATCCTCCTGTGACTTACTATTACGTCTTCTGTCTTTCTCTCTTTCTTTCTTCAATGTCTTCTCCTTTACTACCAGAAAGGAATATTTCTTCTCTGACAGGCACTGCATTGTTCCCTTGGGAACCAGTAATAGCTTTTATTCTTTGCTATACTGGTGTAACAGCTGCGTCTTGTTCTGTATTCTGTGTGTTGATGATTGTGGGTTTTGATTAGTTATTAAACAAAACAACTCTGTCCTGTTCTTCAAAACTTCTGGTGTGATTGGTGAGTTAAAAACATTTTGCTTGCTATCACCGATGGGCTATAAATTTCCTTTAACTAATATGTAATTTGTTCTTCTCCTTTACCAATACAGAGTCCCTTATCTCTATGACTTCTGAAGAATTATGTGGTGTGGGAATTGCATTCCTGATTATTTTCATATGGCTAAACTTCTACTGTATATTTGGTTGAATTTAAATAATATCTTGCTTGAATGAATTGATTTAAATACCATTCAGTAGCAGTTCAGGGACTCTCAACTTGAATGTATTGTCTCTACACCTTCAAATAGTTAGCAAGTAAAAAAAGATAAACACACACACACACATTTAAATGGACACTGAGAGGCTAAGATGCAATTCTGACATGATAAATTGACTCTCACTTCACTAAGTGAAAGAGGGGCCAGATAATAGGTATTTAATACAATTACTTTAAAAACACTCACACATGTGCTTTTCTCCTTTCTAGTGCATTCAAGATCAACCACCCACAGATCAAAGCCTTCTACTTTGCAGCAGAGAATTTGCAGGAAATGAACGTGTAAGTAGAGGAGACTGTCACATCCAGTCTCTAAAACAATCAACTTACCTTGGACAGGCATCAGAATTTTAAAGCCAACAACCATGTCAGTTATTGTCCTATTTATTTTTTGCTATTTAAGTTTGTTCTGTTAATTCCCTTAGCAACTACAAAACCATCCTGCTTTCTTCTCTAGCATGTGTAGTCATCTGGGGACATACACTTATCTAAATGGCTGTCTTAGGGAGTAGTTGTGAGATTCTTCTTATGGAGGCAATGAGAGGAGACAGAAGGTGGTGTGATGTGGAGCATTTGCATCACAAGGAGAAGGACCCAAAGAGTCAGGGAACCAGTCTCCCAGCTCTCCACATCTTAAGGCAGTCTCTGTAGCTTCTATCATGTATCACAAAGGCTCATGGACTTACCACCTGTTTCTCCAAGTGTCACCCAAACATTTACTTCCTGTGTACCTGGCTTTAAAAAAAGATCCTAGCTCTACTTCTGGCTTGCTCTTGTCAAGTCGATGCACTCACTTACTCCCGATTTAGATGAAGATGCATTGTGTCAGCTGTAATTTGAATGAAGCTGTCTATGAGGTGTTGCCTTGAGGCATCAGAGGACATCCTATTAACTTATAAAGACTGTTATTGATGTCTTCAAGACAATCATATAATACTTTAATATCTATGGAACATCTATCATATAACCCGTTGCCAATGATGTTGGGCAGTAACAGTCAAACCCTCCCACAATTCCTCCACTCATAGTTTATACTGAAGCATTGCTATCTATTGTACATGTTAGTTTCATTGCTTATCTTCCATACATGATCCATCTTCGCCTTCTTGTTCCAGAAAACTAAATAAAATACATGCTATCTCTCATCGTACACCTCCAACCTCCTTCAGGTCATCTCTTCTGCTGCATTGTCTAGCCAGGAGCCTTCTCATTTGTTATACCCACTTAGCTTACCCTCATCTCTCTAGATGAGGACAAATTGCTCACAGGAAGTTGGAGGAGCCATGGGTTAGTAGTCAGAAAAGGAACCGTCTTTCAAACATGTCTTTGACAGACAAAAGAGTGTCTGTTCCACACTCTTTATGATCATACCTTTTGCCCCTCCCTTGCCTTTCTCAAGCAACTGAGGGGGATAAAAAGAACAGACAGATCAAGAAAGGGAGTATACCCTTCAAATGCCATCACTCATCTCTGATGGCACTGGTGACTCAATCCAGCTGATTTGCTGTCCCATGCTGTGCAAGTATTCAGAAGAGGGTAGTGCTCTCACCAAGAAGTAGTTAGAACCCAGAGAGGGTGACTGTCAGTCTGCAGCTGAGTCACTGCTGGGGTTCACAGGGCTGTCTCTGGCCTGTAGCGTCAGGGAGACAGGGCTGCCCACCTTCCCACCCGGATAGCTTCTCCAAGAGCATCCTCGGCATCACATATCTTCAGCTTTATCCCTGTTACCACCTTCCCCACCCATCTTGGGGCTGATCCTTTCAAAAATAGCTTTCATCTTCTCAACAAGGGCTGATTGAAAGACAGCATCCCAGATAAATAGTTCTTCTGAGTGCATTGTTACTTAGTGTGTGTCTCCTACGCAGAACAATCCATTTTCAGTCAAGAGGAGGTTAGACTCTTATGCGATTGTTGGAATCCATTGCACTCCAGACACTCTAAGCCACAGTTCAAGGCTATTTAGCTTCCTGTTCCTGGCTGCCACCAGCTCAGCCTTTGTTTCCATCTTCACTCTTTATAGACTTTCTTTCCATTTGCAGTTCCTACTTAACAGAAGGTCTTGTATGAGTTCCAGCTATAGATATCTCTTCCATTGTTGGCTAGTAATTAAACTGTCACCACAGTCAAGGTTAAATCGCATTGCCAGTCTGTGCTATGAAGAGCATTGACTAACTTGAAATTCTGTTAGTGTATCCTTTTCCAACTCATAAACAAGCTATACATTGAAATCTGAATTTCAGGTGGCCTGGGCTCTGATTCTGAATCTTTCCAGTTGTCTTTATGTTTTAAAGGATGATTTTAATCTTGCTCTTTTTGAGACTCATGGCTACATGGTCCATTTGCCTTTTCCTAGACACATGATGATTTCTTCTATCTGTAATATCGTTGCCTTAGTTTCATTTCTGCTCCGTCATAAAATATCCTGACAAAATGCAACTTAAGGAAGAAATGGTTTATTATACTTGCAATTCTAGGTTCCAGTCTATTGTTGCTGGGCAATCAAAGCAGGAACTTCAAGCGTCCTATCCATAGTCAAGAGCAGAGACAGCAAGGGCCTGGATCTTTGCTTGCTTGCTCTCTTATTTTTACCTTACTTTCCTCATTCCTATACAGTTCAGGACCCCAGCCAAGGTAATGGTGCTTCCTACAGTGGTTTCGGTCTTCCTACATCAGCAACAATCAAGACAGTGGCCCAGAGACATGCATATGGGCCAACCTGATGTAGGCAAAGCCTTCACTGAGATGCTGTGCTCTGGTGATTCTAAGCTGTGCCAGCCTCATGAAACTAATCACCACAACCATTCCTGAGTTTTTTTCTTCTTAAGACAATTCTTCCAAGAGTCAACAAGGGAGAACCTCTCTGGACTACCAAGCTTGTCTTTTCTTCTACAAGATTATGCAGATGATACCTAGAGGTTTCTTTATCAGTGGCACCTGAAACTCTTTCTCTTGATGGAGCCTGTTGAGACTAGCCAATAATGAATCTAGGAATGACTTATGGGAGGGGTAGACAGGGAGGGAGAGGTAGTCGTTTCAGTTTTCAGTCATTTAACTCTTTGGCTAAGTACATTTTGGGGGAGGGCATTTATCTCAAGGGTAAAGAAAAGTCAGTTTAAGTCTATCTTACTTTGCAATGACCCTCAATTTCCAGATGTAGGAGTAAGTTATGAGTAATGGAAGAGTTAGTTCTAAGCAAAGATGTGGATTTGTTGCCTGTCTCAGGTGGTGTTCTTGAGAAGAATGCTCTTATTTGGGAATCCATCTTCTTACACTTGTACTCATTCAACACACACATTTCCAACAAGTTAGTATACAATAGACTCCCAGGGAACAGCCGCCATCTTTCATGTCAGTGTTAAACTTTTCGTGTATACATGCATTTATCCAGAAATGGGGACTCTATGCTGCAGATTTACAGAAGGTTCTCAACGAAGGAGGAGCTCTAAATAGAAGTCTAAACCATTGTTAGGTTATTACAGCTAGTAATTCCCAGTGTCAAGGAAAGCACTTGGCTTTTGGGGGAGGGGTGGACTTTCCATTTTGGTGTATATTCACACTTGGGAATAGAGTTTAGAAACATCTTTGCTTGTTTCAGTTACTCTCAATTCAAACTCTTCGTTGTCTTTTTATGTTTTGATATTTTAGTTTATGGGGAGGGAAGGACCAGCTATTCATAATTATAAAATCAGGTATAAACTGAAAACTGGTAGTCTTTTTAAAGCGAACCATGAAATATATTGTGTTTTATCCGATTTAGAAAATGTGTGTAACATCTTTGTGAATTTGTGTAACATAACCTGTTCGTTCACGTGCACGCATGCATGCAGATGTTCATGTATGTTACGTGTGGAGGCCAGAGGTCAACCATGGGTGCCTTCCTCTGTTGGCTCTCATTGTTTGAGACATTATTCCTCAGCAAACATGGAGGTCATCACTTTGGCTGAACTAGTTAGCCAGAGAGACTTGTAGATCTGCCCGTCCTGCCCACTGTCCCAGTGCTGCATTTACAGGCAAGTGCCACTGTCCCCCTTATTATGCGGGGACTGGGAATCCAAAACCAGGTCCTCATGGTTGGATGGCAAGCTCTTCACCCCACTGAAACATCTCTCCAGTTTCCTGCTATATACTTTCAAATGTTAGTGAGGCAATATATTGAGCATCATGTAAAAATTAAATGACACAAAAAAATAGAAAACACATGGGATTTCTGTCGCTCTCCACACCTTCCAGTCAACTTCTCGGGGTCATCCACATTTGACAGTGTAGTGTGATGTTTCTCCTTCCTCACACTGTGTGCACTAATCCACGTACATGTATGAGTGTATCAGTTCATTGCACACACGTGAATTTGCAGTACATTAGGACAGGCAAAACTATGGCTTTGCATGTCTTTTCAACAGTATTTTTCCCCCTGAGTCATTACAAATCCCCTTGTATTTTTTGTTTATTAGTTTCATTATAATGTAGTATTCACATAATCTAGATTGTTATATATCTGATTTCTTGTTAATGGACAATTATTAACTCAGGGTATTTTTTCCTACTGTTACAAGCCTTATTGACAACAATTTTTCTACCATAAAGGTATGTTTTTTTTTTCAAAACAGATATTATCAATTATAATTATTGAGCAAAGAATATTTTTTTCTGAAATCATTATTAAATAGCTCTATAGGTAAAATAGCTTCCCAGACAAGCCAGATGATGTGGGTTCAACACCTGGAACACACTTACAGGCACAAAGAGAGAACTGATTCCCCAAAGTTGTCTCCTGGCCTCCAAATACATAATACATGTGTACGATGACAATAAACTTTAAAAACTGATAGAGATACAGCTTTAATGTCAGGTGGATGGATTTGATGACCAGTGCTTTGATGGTGGCTGCAGGTTTAAAATATATAACTACTAAAGAAGACGTATTTGTTCATAGTTAGAATATCTCATTTAACTTTCTACTTTAACCACTGGATAAAGTCTCACCCCGAAGCCAAGTATTGTGAAGCCAGAAATCTTAGGTCTCCACATCTCAAACTCATGATGCTTTAGGAGATATTCAGGCTAAGTGTGGAATTAGGACTGAATTTCTCTGTAAAGTCTGATGCAGGAAGCAGCTTCAGGGACTAAGGAGAAGAGCGAGTGGCTGAGGGGCCTGGCTATTTGGTCAAACATTTACTTCCCATTTGAATCTTAGGTGGTTAAACAAACTTGGGTTTGCAGTAATCCACCAGGAGTCCACCACAAAGGATGAAGGTATGTTGTTCTGTTTTACATTTCTGAAATGTTAGCAAGAACATTAGGATAGAATGAGTCAGGATGAAGAGAGACAATTCGGGTTCTATGTATAGGCTGACCCTGGGGAAACATAGTTTGACATTTGAAAGGATCTAGAAGGTACAGACAGCCATCTTCACACAGGCTCACCATGGAGCCGATCCTCCCTGCCAACTCGAAGTGACTTCACACTTCACCCACACTTGAGCAGCTGCAGGCTTCTCTGATACTCAGACAATTGCCAATGCAAATGTTTTGGTGCCCTCCTTACAGAGTTCTTACTCACAGACCTGAATGTGTCATGATCCAGCCAGATCACTTGCATCCCACAGTTTCCTCTGAGAGTTTAACCTTTCCACCAGGTGTACGTTGACATTAATTACCTCGAAAGTCTTCTTGGAACCTGAAGATCAGGCTGGAGACACACCATGTTCGGGCCTCACAAGTCTACATGTTCATAATATTGTTAGCCTTTAGTGTGGGGAACAGAGAGGCTACAGGTACCAGGGTCCCTGACATGTACCAGTGCTGAAACACAGATCACGGGGCAGTCAGACATCATAAGGAGAGGGTTATATGTTTGATTATGAAATCTGAAGTTTAGAAATGGGAAAGTGGCCAATGCTGTGAAGCTGGCATCTAACTACCGCATTAGTCCCCTTTTCTGTAAGGTAAGCATCCATTGGCCATCAACTGGGGGAGAGAGGCCTGTGGAGAAGGGCTTATCCTGGCGTTTAAGACCTTTTGTGATGTTGCCTCTGTACCTCTAAAGCTTTGTCATCCAGGCTCTGCCTTGGGGATCTCCATTTTTTTTGTGTGTGTGTGTGACTGGGCCCATTTGCTCAGCCTAGTCCTCCTCTTGCTCTTTTGGGGTACCAACCATTGGCTGAGTCATCATCAGTCAGATTCAGCCAGCTCCCATCTCCACCGATGATGGTGTTATAAAGACGCACACATTTTTAAAGGAATTGTTTATTTTTTTTCCCCTTGAGAAACAATAGTCCCCATTTTGCATACCGGATGGTCTCTGGCAACAGAAACCGCCATGGAGGCGGACACTTGCTTACTTGCTTCTCCTGTTCTTGAGTTGCTTTTCACCAGGCTGTGCCACCAATTTCTTGCCTTCTATTTTTTTTTTTTTTTCTTTTTTGAATGCTCCCCTTTTGAGTGAGATTGAAATCGCAATAGGCAGATGGAGGAAAACCTTGCTTGTACATCATGGAATCAGCGACCAGAGCCTTGAAACCTGAAGCATTTATTTCTTCCTGTTATAGAATGTTACAGTGAGAGTGAGCAGGAAGATCCTGAAATAGCCTCGGAGACGCCGCCCCCTCCATATGCTTCGGCAACTTCCTCTCCCGTGGTACGCGTAGATGTGAGTAGTCTGCTGGTCACTAATTCAGTGTGCGAATGTCATTCTTTCCAGCTATACATAGCTATACATAACTACCCCAGCCAATAAAGTTTTACAGTTGACCAAGTTAAGGCACCTTCCAAAGAGCAAGTGAAATTCTCAGGGTGCTGACTCAGGGTGCTGATGTAGAGCCTTCTCCATGGCAACCCAGAGGGATGACATTCTTGATGTCTTTGTTTGTAACCCTCAGATGGGCTGGATAACAGTCAGGGGATGGAGATGCAAAGGCCTTTTGAGTAGCAGCCTACTGCCTGCAGAGGCGATTTTGTAGTGTGTGTTTGTGTTATGCCCTATGTATTTTCTGAAGGAATGTCAGGTGCCTTGCCGAGGTGCCTGTGATCCAGCAATGCAAAATGAATTTAAGAGTGGTATTAAAATAGAGCATGAAAAGAGAAATAGAGACAGCAGCTGGAGTCATCTCATTAAGTTGCATTGTGTATGGGCTGGTGTGGTGTGTTCTCAAAGGAGGGTCCCAATTACATACTAAGCTTTGGAAGTTCAGGTCTTCATGGTTGGCAAGACTTTGGAGAATAGCTTCATGTTTAGATATATGGTCGCCAGCAAGGGGCACACTGGGGTCATTGAGTATATAGTATTTAAAAAATTAATTAACAGGTCATTATTATTATTGTTTTGTGTATGTGGTTGAAACTCATGACCTCCTTCATGCTAACACATGCCTTATATCAGACCCACACCACTAGCCAGATTTACAGCTTTTATGTTTATCATGTCCCAGGTGCTTTAAATACGTAATCATTTAATCTTCAAACAACCTTGAGAAACAGTAGTATTTTATTTGCACTTTACTGATCACGTGAGGCCAAACCAATTTCTATGGTTAGAGCCATTTGTATTTCTTCTTTGTGTTTTCTGCCTCCCCTTCCTATTCCTCTTGGTTGTTCTTGTTGGTTAATGAGGTCTCCCCGTTTGGTCCTCTCTATATTTGAAATAACATCTATTTGTCATGCATACTTGTCGGCCGTAATCAAGACATTCTCATGTATTTTTTTTTTTTTAACTCTTTCATGGATTCTTTTTATAAACGGTTGTTTGTGAATTTAATAGCTCAGGTTTACCCATCCTTTTCCCCTTTTTAGTTGAACTTAGTATCTTTATTTTTTTTTTTTCTTTCTTTCTGGTTTTGAAAATTTGTTCCTCTCCCAAGACCATGAGGAGGTTGATTTTACTGTCTTCATTTCCTGACAGAGAAAATCTTTTTGGAACTGTTCCATAATACTTGCCCATCCATAGACCTAAAGTTCCGCATCCCACGTTTGAACTTAATGAAGGGACTCTTCTAAGAGCTAATAGTCGGGTTAACAAACTTGGATGATTCTCTATATTTGTCCATGTCGTTAATCACATATTGCTTGTTAACTTGTTTTTTAAGGCAGAGTCTCATGTGGCCCAAGCTCACCTTTAACTTGCAATATAGCCAAGGATGATTTTGCACTTCTTATCTTAATTCACCCCCCCATTATAATTACTGCAATTATAGGCGTGTACCACCATACTTGGTTTTTATGTAGTGCTGGGGAATGAACCCAGGACAAGAACATTACCAACTGAGCTGCCTACCCAGCCCTTAAATGTTGTTTCTTAAGTTGTTAATCAGCTGGTGGTGGAAATGCCAGCCTTTAATCCCAGCACTCGGGAGGCAGAGGCAGGAGGATCTCTGTGAGTTTGAGGCCAGCCTGGTCTACAAAGCCAGTTCCAGGTCAGCCAGGGCTGCATAGAGAAATCCTTTATCGATAAACAAACAAAAAGTTGCAAGCTGATCACTTTTAACAGATATTTTCTAAAGTAATACAGGATAAAATGGTCAGGTAAATGTCGTCTTGGTAGTGTTTGCCAACTTAATATAAGCTACTGTTATCTGAGAAGAGTGTCTCAGATGGCTGGTAGGCAATTCTGTGGGGGCTTTTGTGAATTAATGATTGATGTGGGAGGGTCCAGCCCACTGTGGGTGGTGCCATCCCTAGGCAGGTAGTCCAGGAGGTATAATAAAGCAGGCTGAGCAAGCCACTGAGAACAAGTCATTAAGCAGTGTTGCTTTGTGGCCTCTGCTCCAGTTCCTGCCTTGAGTTCCTGCCTTGGCTTCCCCTGATGATGGAGCGTTTCCTGTCAGCCAAGCAAACCACCCCCAAGTTGTTATCGGTCATGGTGTTTACTACAGCAACAAAGAGCAAATGTTGAACAGTTAGATTTTTTTTTTTTCCCCTCCTAGTAATAGAGTATGTTCCTTCTGCTCACACATTGCCTGGGCAGATTTTGTTTTTGTGTTTTCTTGTTTCGGAAAAACAAAAACAAAAACAGACATGTAAGACATTTGGTGAAAATAACATTAGGCTTACTATTTAAACAGATGAAGTAAAAGAAAAAAAAAATCTGGGTGACTTTAATCCTGGCACGAATCAAGCCATAGTTTCACTCAATATGATATAGGCAAGCCATGAATCAGATATACAGATACACACACACCTCTAAACCTAAGGTAATTTTTTTTTTTTTTTTTTTTTTTTTTGCAGTTGGGCAATGACTTTATCTCTTGAAGCAGAACCCAACAGAATAAAATAATATTGTTCTAGAAAGTTATCATTGTCTTAAAAACTTTCAAGGTTTGCAATAACTAATTCAGTGTCCATCCTTTCTTAATTCTAGAGAGTAGAGGTAATCTTAATTTCCAGTGCCCTAGAGTTTGGGTTTCGGCTTCTAGTGGGCTGAATCACAAGGGGGCTGAACTCCACAGGGAAGGTAGTGAGTGAGTGAAGACAGGTTTCCAGAAGCCTCTTGCGAATGACAGCAGGAGGACATCCACTTTTCCCTCTATGTCTGTGTGTGGGGCATGCACACGTCACACGTGTATGCTAAGGCCAAGCCCATGTGTCATTCTTCAGGAGCCTACTCAGGATTCCTCATGGGAACCTAGGACTCTCTGGTACCCTAGGGTGGCTAGCTAGGAAGCTCCAGAGGGCCCCCCAGGGCTGCTGTGGTATGCCTTGCCTGCCTGCCCTGCCCTGCATTTTATGTGGGGGCTCAGTTTCTGAATTCAGGTCTTCGAGTTTGAATGACAAGTGCATTGTTCATCCAGCCATTTCAACAGCCCCAACATGACCCGATTCTTAAAGAAAAGATAGAGAATGTTGTTCTCTTAGGCTTATTAAAAAAGGTTTAAAAATAGATGGTGGTTCTGTACATTTCATTTTGAAAGATAATTTGTAGACCTCATTGTTCGGATTTCTTTAATTTCTCAAAGAGCATAAAAGGAACCAACTTCCCAAGTCTCTGAATGTCCTGAGTTACTAAGGGTTTTAAGAGCTATTAATAGCACTATAGGACTCATCACATCCCCCCCCCCCAACCCCAGGTTAATTTTAAAGGCGTGGTCTGATAACCTGGTTTGTTATGCCGATTTACTTAAATTGTGAACCCTCTTCTCAGAATATGGGATCCATTGGCAAATGGTTCACGTTCTTTGTGGGATGAAACTTCCTGTACAGGGAAACAGATGCAGATGACCATCTTACGTGGAAGATCCAGTATGGCAGAAGTAGAGAAGGGTGGATGAGGAGGACCAGGGGAGATGGAGGTAGAGAGAGGGCTGGCAGCTGATAGGCATGGATGGCCAGAATGGTTCCACACAGCTTAGATCTGAGCACTGGTCTGTAGAGATACTTGGAGTCAGCTGGGCGACCCATTGAGGAGGAATTTCCCAACAGAGAAAACAGAGTCAAGATCTCATTGGTGAGAAGTGATGCGGGAGCATCTGAGTCTGAATGAGACTGATAGGATGTGAAGTCAGGGTAATGGTAATGGGAGCCACCCTATACGGGGCTTGTGGGCCAGTTCTGGCCTTTGATGCTCCATTCTGGGTGATTTCGGGGAACTCTTGGGGGATATAAGCAGAAGGCTTGTGAAGTCAGTTTTGAACTTAAAAGGAGACCCAGGCTGGTATATGAAGAAGCCTAGTGAATCAGTGAGAAGCACATTTTCACGGAAGGCAGGAAAGTGTGCATTGTTCTGTGGTGTGAGGCGGTGGTGCCTCTCCTGGGTAGCACTCAGGCCGTTGAGGAAGTGAGGAGACGGGACTTGAGTGCACTTGGAATGAAGACACCGAGAGTTGGATCCAATATGAAAAGGGGATGCATATTTATAGCCTCAGCTTCTGGCAGCTCAGATAGTAAGAATTCAGATTATTTTAACAGAATGGTCCAGTCTTCACCCTTCGATGATTTCCGAAGAATAATTCCTTTTTGTCTCCGAGAATGTTGAAATAAGCCATCTAAAGCAAACCAAAGCAGCAGGAAGTAAAAATAAACTCTGGAAAGAGATGCTCTGGCTAGGGGTAGAGGGGGAAGTTGAACACTAAACAAACAACGGTAGGATGATTTTAGAAATACAGATTTCATTTTAATAGTCTATGTCTTCGATAGCTGTCTACCAAATGTCACTGGGTCAGTCAATATCTACCATACTAAGCTGTACAGACGCTTGCAAGCAGGTAATTGTAGGAAGACTCACCAGTGAATTTAGTTTATAATTCCAAACCTAGAATATATATATGTATATGTATATGATGTGCAAGAAATAGGGATCGGAAAGGTGATTTTTCATAAGCTTTATGTTTGGAAATTGAGCTGATTTTCAAACTTTGCTGTAACTGGGTGTTAAGGTATTTTTGTCTCTTGCTTTAATAGTTCCTTTCCACAGCCTGCTAGCGTGGTGGCTGTCCCACCACCCTCTCCTGCCTTCTGCTTCCACTGGCCCAACTCCACCCCCCTCAATAGCTCCTGCCCGAGTCATCGCAACAACAGGCTCTATCTCTCCCTGCTCCTAGTCCGCCTTTTCTTTGAAAGGTTCCTCAAAAGGTGCTTTGTAATAACACCGATTTGCCTAGAACTCACCACGCATACCAGGCTGCCCTTGAACTCCCAGAGCTCTGCCTGCCTCTGACCCCCAAATGCTAAGATTAAAGGCAGGCAACACCACACCTGGCCTTACTCTTCGTCCACTGAGAGCTCTTTTGCTGCCACATTCCTGCCACTAATCCCTCCTTTGTAAAATGCCCCTTTGTCCCGAGTCTTCCAAGCTTGCCCTCTGCATCTGCAGGGAGAACTTTCTTAGCTCTTAGGAAGCTTTGGTTCCAATGCCACTCCAATTCCACATTCATGGGATCTTTTAGTCTGCTTCAAGCAGCCCTTCCCTGCCTTCTAAGCCATGACAAATTTACTCTTTCAGGTTTTTTTTTTCCTATTAATCCTTTTAGTTGGCACTAGTAGTAATGGATTTCATTGTGGTATTTTCATACATGAATGTCATTCTGCTTTGTTCTTTTTCTGAATTCTGGAACATTTTTTTTAATGCCTTTTCATGCTGTTAAAATAATTCACCTTGTACTTGCGGCTTTATGTGTCTGTGTTATTTATATAATTATCATATTCATGTAAACATGCTTACAATTTTATGTATATGTATGTGTGCCTGAGTGTATATATGCACAGCACATACATGAAGTAGCTTATGGAGGTCATGTGGGTGCTGGGAACCAAACCTGGACCCTCTGTAAGAATAATAAACACTCTTAGCTGTGAACCATCTCTCTAGACTCCTAATTACCAAATTATTAGAGTCAGAGAGCATGTTCAATATATTTTTGTTTATTAGTGATATTTGTGTGTGTGTTTGTGTACTTAACTCCCACAGACACATAAACAGATAAGTGTAATAAGTAAGCTTATTCAAACTCAAACATCCAGAAATGAATTAAATCGCATTGCCAGCAATTCCCTCACAAAAGGAAGCCATGTTGCTTGAGATTATACACACTCAGTGGGTCTGTCTCCTCTAGTAATTCTCCTCTATCCTGAAGTTAGCAATCCTATCCAGCAAGCTGATCGAGATCTGAGGAAGCTCCTCAATAAGAGACCAAACTACTGTGCTGAGATTTTCTTCACAGAGCTGGTCCTCCGACCCATTCTTTCCTAGCAGTAATTTATTATCAACTATGTGTTGGGCACAGATGCAAGAAAAAAAAAATGGAAGTGTAAAAATGACTAAAAGCAGCCTGTTCTCAAGTAGCTCACTAAAAAAGACTTAGCAGTCAATCAGCACTAGCAATATAAGTTGTCAAATAAAATGGTATTCATCTGGTATGGTGGAAGAAAGCATCAGGTATCGTGACTTCACAGCTTGGCGCTATTGGGGAGATTTCTTACAGAACCAGGCACATGAACTGGCTCTGGAGGAGAGATGCTTTAGTCAGATATAGGGAGGAGAGAAGGGGACCTACACCCTGCTGCCTGCATTGCCTTTGCTGTTCAGATAGGTCACAGAAGGCTAGGGTGGTACATCCAATGTTGCCTACTGGTAGCTACGGAATCTTAGAAATAATAAGCCATGTTTTGGCACTCTGTTGCTTACAAAAAACGGTTCCAGATGTGTCTTCTGAAATGAACTCCGTGTCCAGTTTGTTCCATATCACCCGCTCTCCGGTTCATTGGTCTCCAACATTTCACACACACACACACACACACACACACACACACACACACACACACACACACACGCACACTTTTTCCCTTTTCATTTGTTTTTCCATCTTCCCTAATTCATTATTTTTTCTTTCTCTTCATTATTTACTCCTGTTCCCTTTGTATTTTAAAACAAAATCTGGGGCAGGGGAGATGGCTGTGTTGGTATAGGGCTTACTTTGTAAGCACGAGGTCCTGAGCCTGATTCTCAGAATCTATTTAAAATTCCTAGTGTGGCGATGTGCTTCTCTGCAACAAAGGGAAGCTGATCAAACATAAGACGAGACTGACCAAAATAGTTCACAGTAGGAGAATGTACCGGGACTGGAGTAACATGTGTGTTTTTTGTTAAATTTTGTAGATCCATCTCTCTCTCTCTCTTTTTTTTTTTTTTAAAGACAGGGTTTCTCTGTATTGTTTTGGAGCCTGTCCTGGAACTAGCTAGCACTATAGACCAGGCTGACCTCGAACTCACAGAGATCCGCCTGTCTCTGCCTCCCGAGTGCTGGGATTAAAGGCATGTACCACCCATGCCCGGTTTGTAGATCCATCCTATGAGTAAAATATCCCTGCATTTATTTGGATAATATGGGTACTGTATGTTCCTCTCCTGGAGAAGTAGGTCTTACAGATTTTGCATCTCTTAGTTGTTAATTGGTCTAGGAGACTTAAGGTAGCCAGCTGCCAAACTATTTGACACTTTGCCAAATAAAACATATTCATGCCTGTGGTCATATCTTGTGATATGAAATTTTATATCTTATATGGAGGCATTTTAGTGTCATGTTAATATTCAATGTAGGTTTATTTCTGGACTGAAGAGATGGATCTGTGGTTTACATGTTTGCTGTGAAAGGAGTTTAGATCCTAGATCCTGAGTAAATGCTGGGTAGTTGTGGCTTGCTTGCAATGCCAGCTTTGGAAGGTAGAGACTAGCCATATCAGTGAGCTCGGGGATTGATTGAGAGACCCTGTCTCAGTGATTAAGGTGGAAAAGTGATTGAAGACAATTCCCAGTGTTGTCTTCAGGCTTCCAGGAGTACATGTGGAAACATACATTACATGTGTGCACAGCACATGCATATGAAAAAGGGGCATAGTAGATTTTTTTGAGCATTTGGTAGCCTATGTTCACTGAACACCCAAGAAGACACATATTAGTTAGTAGCAGTTTTCCCATTAAAAGCTCAGAGCATAGGGCCTTTAAAATTCACAGTGATGTACTGAGTTTGAACATAGGCAAGCATTTTGACTTGGTTGTTATGTTTCTGAGACTTTGAAGAGGATCTAAATGTTTTCTTCAGTTTTATATTTTTAATGATCTCCATCATGCGGCTTCCCTAATTAACAGGATTATCCAATAGGATGATGACATGAAACTCAACCATAAGATCACTTCTCAGTCTTATACCATGGGACATACAGGGTAACCTAGAGAACCACGAGTCTAGATATTTGGATTTTATTGACGAATGATGTTAAAAATGGAAGAAGTTGCCAGATCTTTTGCCTGGTATGGATGGATTGCATTAAAAAAATAAGTGTAAACTTATTTGTCCAAATTCTTAAAATATTGCAACATTAAAATGTAACTCATATAAAATCTCAGCATATACGTGGTGTCTGTCTCAAGAGAATGTCCTTATTGATGACGTGGTCTTGGTACTATGACTGTGGATTGATGAAATATCCTTCAGGGTGGCCATTTGCCCTTGGAGAGCATGCTAGGAAGCTGCTGTTAGAGGGTGCTCAAGCAACCCGCCTATCGCCATCAGTTGGGAAGCGGTGGCTTCTTTCATGAATTCAGAGGCTATAAATGTGTTCTTATCTCACTCAGTGGAGCTGGATTAAAAATTGCAAGTGATTGGCTCTGGCGAGATGGCACCGTAGGTAAGGATGCTTGCTGTTAAGCCTGATGATCTGAGTTTAATACAAGGGGCCCACTTGGTGGAAGGAGAGAATGGACCCCTCTGACCTCTAACACATGCTGTGGAATCTGGGTTCCCTCCTTCCAGCCACAAAGTAATAACATGTACAATAGGAAGTATTCTTCTACTGGGCCATACCCCAAACCTCTGCTTTCTTCCTATTAGTTACCTTCCTCTGTTATTTTTGCTCATTTCATTGTGAATTCAAGAATGGATGACAAATTACCATTGTACCCACAAGCATTATATATATAAAAAAGTTGTTATAAGAGAGTCTTTAAAGTGTTGGAGAGGCTCACAACTTTGAGTCAAATTTTTTGATATGGAGATTTTTTTCAGGTCTTATATGGGGAACTGAAAATTACACCAGTCAGTTCTAGAGACGTCCCTGGTGACTGCCATACAGTAATAAGTATCATACATTTGTCCTTTGACTTTTTTCATTCCTGGTCACTTTTTCAAATAATTCTGGGAGAATTTTAATAAAAACAAAATGAAGGGAATGGTCATTTAATCACAATGTCTCTCCTCCTCCTTCTCTTCCTCCTGATTTCATTTGTGGAAAATAGGCTTCGCGGAGGGCGTCGTCTTCTTCACCTAAACTGAGAAACTCATCATGCTCTTTCTCCTCCCTGGAAAATACGGCAAAGGCACCCAGCCTGTTTTCTTCCTCCGGATCTAAAGACAGACAGACCTGGCTTGACATGGTTAACAACGCGACTGCTGCTGAAGATACGGGACACCCCCTGACATTTAGTGTACAGGTCCATACACCTGCATCTTCAGAGGCCAGCAGTTGCCCGGCCCCAGGAAATAGCTCCATCACTTCAGAAAGTGGATTTTTGAACTCTTTGTCTAGCGATGACACTTCTTCATTGAGCAACAACCAAGACCATCTAACAGTTCCAGACAGAGCTGCTGGATCAAGGATCGTGGATGGAGGTAACACAGGGGACTGCTTACTCTTCCTTAGATGCCGAATATTTGTGGGAGTGTTATAGAGCTCTGGTGTAAATCCGTAACTCAAATGTTTAAACCCATGAATGGCAATTTGAAAATTAGTCAGATGGGGCTTAGCCTCTAGCTCTTTTTGTAAAGTTTGCCTGTGGCAGCTCCTGTTACCTGGCCACTAATTACCTGTTGTAAATGTCAGTAGCCAAAAGCTTTAGACCAGTGGTTCTCAACCTTCCAAATGCTACCATCTTTCAATAGAGTTCCTCATGTTGTGGTGACCCACAACCATAAAATTTTATTTTCATTGCTGCTTCACAACTGTAATTTTGCTACTATTATGAATCATATCTGTGTTTTCCAGTGGACTTAGGCAGCCCCGTGAAAGGCTCCTTTGACTTATAAAGGGGTCATGACCCACAGGTTGAGAACCACTGCTTTATATTATGAGGCAGGCAGACATGTGATCATAATGTAAACATCTCCATCAATTTGAGAACGAATCCCCCATTTTGGTTCCATAGTCTATGTTCTGGGGGGGGGGGTTGTGGTAGTTAAGGGATGTGTGAGATGGATTTATATTACTCGGATGTGTCAAATGGGTTTAGAGCAGCCATTGTAGAGGGACAGTCAGTGGTCTCCTAAGGGTGTCTGTGCGGTTAATGGAGGTCAAGAACTTGGCACGCAGTTTGGAGGGCAGTACCTTTACTACAGAGGAGGTAACAGCTTAGATTCCTGGGAAGCAGTTTGCTCTTAACCAAGGAAATGGTTGTATATAATCATTCCATTAGAAGGCGAAGCAAAAGAAGACTTGACAAGACAGCTCAGTGGGTAAAGTGTTTGTAATATAAACCTGGCAACTCAGTTTTGAGCCCTGAACAAACATAAAGGTAGAGAAAAAAAAAAAAAAAAAAAGCTGACTCCAAAATGTTGCCCTTTGAATCTGCACATATAATATTACACGTATGTGCACAGCCACACCTCACACACACACTAATAATAATAATAATAAACACATGTAAAAAGATGTAGAAATCTCCTCATCTCTGTGACAATCAAGACTTCCAAAGCATCAGAGATACTAAAATTCCATTTACATTCTTTTCCAAGAGGTAACTCCGCAGATTGAATTTCCCGTTAGGATTAATAAACAGAGTCATGGGAAGATGCATGAGTTTCCCATCCTTGTCTAAGTGCCATCCTGGGAATTCATGTGCTGAGGAATCCAGCTGGGAGCCAACAGCTCTTTTAATATAAGAATAAAGAGACCCTGGTAGTCATCACACAGAACGACCAACAAAATCTAGGCCATTTTTCAAATAGCTCGATGGAACGGTATTTGTCCTGGTAGAGAGGAGGCGAACAGGAAGGTATCTTCCCTTCACTGGTTTGTTGGCAGTTGCCATATGTTAGAGAATTCTTGCTGATGATTTTCTCCTGCTGTTGGGGATTTGGTTTCATTCCCAGAAGAACTGAACCACATTGAGTCATCTCCATGGAAACGGCAGCCTAGTGTTTGCTGTGACTTGCTATTGAGTAATCAAATTGGGTGTTGCGCATGTATATGTTTGCCTGTTGGAGAAGAAGGTAGCTTTTCTTGTGTGACTTCTAGAAATTATTGTTTTGACTTTCCAGTGTGGGGACGAACCTCTGAAATTTCAGTGTCTAAAATACTATGGCGAGGGTTTTAGAGCAGACCTGAAGTTTCAGTGTCATCCATGAGAGGAGTTAAAATTTTAGAAGATTAAGATCTAGTCTCATGACATGTTTTCCGGGGAAAGAGAATTTTATCCTTGAAAAGAATCTTGAAGGTTAATAACCGAGTTCTGAAAAAAAAGCAGGCAGCTTGTATTATAGCCTTTCTTTTATGTAGACAATGGAAGAAATATTTCGTAGTTGGTATGCAATTAAAATTGTGGTTGCTGGAATTTTATTCTGAATTCGAATATCCTTTTAGACATTTCTCCCTGTCTTGTAAGCCATTAGAGAAGGGGGAGGGGATGTTAATGACATCCCCTCCCCCTTCTCTACTGCAACTTTCAGATTGCTACAACTCTAGAAGATTCTCCAACAAGCCTTTTAAGAGTTAATGGTGTACTCATCTCATCTGTTTTACTATGGGCATTTTTCTGACATTGCTGTGAGATATGAGACTAAAATCAGATTAAAAAGAAACTGTGTCTAATACTGAAGTCAACTCAATTTAGCCTATCTGTTATTATGAAGACTGTTCTAACGTATACTCATGTTCTCTGTGCTAACACACACTCTACAATCTAAACATGGCTGTGGTAAAGCATCCTCACGTCTAATGGGGTGAGTGGGAGGATAAGACATGATTAACAAAAGAAAGCAAGGCAGAAGAGTGTCACAAAGCAGATTTACAAAGCAGGTACACAGAATTCAGTCACATATAAGGGAGCCCTGTGCGTGGAGCAGGGGCGTAGGAGAGGGAGGTAGGAGGAAATTAGGACAATATTGAATGATGAACAGATCATGCGTGGCCACTTGCAAACTGGCGTAACATAGATGAACCTGTGATGTCAAAGAGCTCCTTTAGTCTTAGATCCCAGGCTATCCTAGGATAAAGAGAGGCAGGAACTAAGAGGGGTTTGTGGTACTCAGGGTTGAAGTAGAAACTGGAAACAGAGGAGAGAGGGAGGATTCTGTGTCCTGCCTCATTTCAGTCAGTCATGGTACACTTAGAATTTAATTTATTCCACAGAGTATTTCCCAGTGATATTATTTTTGTAGTAGGACGAGAAATGATCTTAAAGTGGTGATAAATATTTCCTAATAGGAACATCTTGTATATGTGACAGTTGACTATCGTGGCTTGGATCTCAGGCATGGATGGATGACTGATTCACCGTGCCTTCAATGGCTCCTAGTTAACTGCCAAAGATCTCTCTTAATTACCATAAAATAAACTGATTAGCTTGTCTGAAAATCCATCCATACCATATAACTAGGTCATTTGTGGTACTTAGATCTTTATTGCCTTCTTTATTCCTTCTTAGTTTTATACATTTTGCTGCAGCTTAGGAAGTAGGAAGGAGTGGGAGTCTGTGGAAGCTCACTGGGACAGATAGAAGTTCTGAAGCTGGTGACAAGTGAGTCTAGATTCCAGAAGTAGGAAAGTGGGCACAGCTGGGAAGAAGCAGAAGAAGTCCGAGGAAAAAACAAAAAAGAAAAAAAGAAGAAGTCAGAGGTCGTAGCTAATGGTGGAGGATGGGTGTGTCTAGAGGAAACCACGGGGTGAAGGCACAGGAGAATGCTTGTGTTGAGAAGGGAGTTCTAAGGGGAAGGTTTTTTATGAAAACACCTTCAGGAATTGAAAAAGTACATTAAAGCAAGTCTTCTCTGGGACCAAACTGTACCAGATATGATCCTGCTCATGGCTGTGACTCCTTCTCAGAAGTCCAAATTTATTCCCCAGAGAAGAGAAACCTCTGATGAGCATCATGTTGGAAATTCCTCTTAAGACTCTGCTACTGGGATTGTGGCTTATCAACTATTGAGCAGATTCCTTTCCCTTTTCTTTTTGTTTCTCTATGCATAGAGTTTTAGAAGAACATATGGAAAGGAAAGTTAGGGGACATTTTGCTACTTAACGGTAGAGTCATTTTTGAATTCACTGTTGGGCTATCAATTACGCAGAAGTTCTTACTGGCTGATCACAAGGTCTAGTGGACATGAGTGGCTTTGGGAATTACCACAATGTCTTCAGCCATTTCCAGTTTTTAAATAACTTCCTTCTGAGTAGGGATAAATGTTTGGTTTCTTTCTAGTTCTTGTCATGTCCTTCTGCACATTGATATACTTAGTGTTTCTATCTTGAGGATGATTTGTGAAAGCATACACTTCAAATTCATAGGCTTAGCTTTTAAAAGAATGCTGGACATGTACAGTGTGCAGTGTAGAGTGAGCACACAGTCTGTACCTCCCTCCCTGTCCCTGCCGTCCTCCGTGGTTTAACTTTTCAAACGAGTGTGGCTTGCTTCTTACAACCAAGACCAAACATTGAGGTAGCCCTTGTGAGTGCCCTTCACTCCATCTCAAATTCATGGCCTCTTCTTAAATTATTATCACATATGCATGCATGTATGTATGTATGTATGTATGTATGTATGTATGTATGTATGCAACCTACTGAGTCCCTGGAGAAAATGGATTCTTTCTTAGCAGCTATTGACTATCTGCACCACCTAGGGGAAGGGCCTCATGACATCCGTGTTGCCACGGATTGATATCGTTTTGCAAGTTGTGTTTTAGGCAGCCATGTTGTTAGGATTGCATGGTTGTAGCTCCCTCTCCTATGTAAAAGACACTGTCTCACAGCAGACATCTTGGCTCTCTCATGCTTACAGTCTCTCTGTCTCCCTTTCTGGAACCCACGTGTAGGGGTTGCATTATGGATGTATCAGCCAGGGCTGTGCACCCCAGAAGTACAGGTATGTTCTTATGGACTGAAGTCTATAGTACATAGTTAACTCTTTGCTGTACAAATGCTTTGTGCATTTGATGATATGTAATGTCATGTATCTCCACCACAGACTCACAGAGGCCCATCTCAAATTGGTTGTCCAGAGTTGTTCTTATTAATTGGGAGTCTGCCGTAATTCTAGCCTTGCTATGTTGTAGGACTCTGAAATTACCATGCAAAGAATGGCCATAAACACCTTTTAATCGCTAGGCATCAGGTGCTATATGTTAAATATTATTTTCAGGATATGCAGTATGTACAGATCACCAGTCTCTTGTTTGAGTTCTGATAACAGGTGTCTTCAATGGCTTTTTTTTTTGTTGTTGTTGCTGTTGAACACTAGAACATTGTACGTGGAACTTACAGTGCTTTGTCCCCTCCCCAGAACTTTCCAAATTCATTACATTTGAAGGTTAAAATGATCTCCCTTGGAACATTATTTGGACTTTCCAACTCTCTAAAAAGGCTTCTTTTTCAAGCCCTGGTATGAAAGCTGGTGTATGAATTTCTCTCTTGTCTTCTGAAGCCAGCTTTTATGTTCTAAATAGAAGATAAACAGCCTCATTCTAGAAAGCACAAGCAAGACCAAAAATAAGACAGTGGGGGAGGCAGAGTTGAAAATACAGCATTTCAAGGGATAATCTGCATACAGTGTTCTCGACAGGCAAATTCTGGGCCTCCAGGAGCTGTCCTGCCCTGCCAGAGACAGGCAGTAAGATGGCACGTAGGAGGAGGCTGAGGAGGAGGGAGGCACACACTCATTTACACAGCCTCAGGAAGGAGAGAACTTGTAAGCACTAGTGAGAACACTGGTATATCTTCAGTCTTGCTACAAAGGACCTGGATTGTAGTTGCTGTATATTTTTGTTTTTTAGACTATTTATTTCGTTTTACATATATGAGTGTTTTGCATGCATGCATGCGTGTGCACCACGTGTGCCTGGTGCTTTCCAGGTCAGAAGATTTCCTGGGGTGGGATCTCCTGGAACTGGAGTTGCAGATGGATGTCAATCATCATGTGGGTGCTGGGAATTGAACCCAGGTCTCTTAAGCACTGAGCCAGCTCTCTAGCCCCCAGGACCTGGGAGCTATCATACTAACCCTTTCTGACTCAAACCGACTCAACTCTGGAGACATCTCCTGAGTTAGTCTAGCTGACATGGTGGGTCACCGTCAGATACTTCAAGTTCCTTTCCATTCACCCTGTGGTGTGAAGTGCTTTCTGGCACTGATTTCAGGTGTACTTCATTTGAGCAAGCTGAGTCGCTTTCCTTTTCTCTTTGAATAGCATATGGCCCAGAGACAGCCAGGGCAGCCTTTTGAACTAGTTTCAATTTTCTGGTTGTCATTCAAGTCCCTCTCCCCTCCAATGAATCCAGGCTTGTGAAATTTTGCCAGCAGGTGATCCACATTTGCTGTTTAAAGTATAGTCAATGGGCCCAAGAGCTTGCCAAAAATCTAGAAAGCCTAGAAGGTCTGGGGAAACAACTTTGCAAAAAAGACCTGGATTTGATCCCTAGTGTGAAAATCCATTTGTAGTGGATTGATTGTTGTCCCAGAGAAGTTAGAGAGAGGTGTCCTGGAAGTCACCAGCCACCCTAAGCTACTCCAAAGGCAAAACAGATGTGGCCTGAGGAATGACAACTAAGATTGACATCTGGCCTGTATATGCAGGAGTGCAAATGTGAGTGTGGACCAGTATATGCAGGGGCACACACGTGTTCATGTGCACACCCGTATGTTCTCACACACTTACACATATACACATGCATTCATCTATACACACATGCACATCTGCATGCATACACTCATGTATGCACATACATAGGCACACATATGCCCGCAGGCCCCCCCACACACATTTAGAGTATTAGTGCCATCCCAGATGGCTGAAGCAGAACCTGAATTTTCCTAAGCTCCCAGGAGGCTGTTTCTCTGTTCAAATTTGTGAAGAACGGTCTAGAAACACATGGACCCACAAAAGATGGGGTTTTTATTTTTAGTACCCACCACTAGTTGGCAGTTGGGAGAAAAAGTCACGGATTGTTTTTCAAGACTATCTACTTTCCTCATCTGTATGATAACACCTTCAACCTTGACCAAGCACTAGTGAATTGAGAGTCAACAGGCCATAAGGTACCCATGTGGCAATGGGCATTGAAGCCCTTCTGTCCTACATGGGAAGATTGATCCTGCACTCGAGAGGAGACAGTTAGCTGCCAGGCAAAATCCATTTGTTTCATCTCCGGAGACGAGAGAGGTGGAAATAACTTGCTTGGCGTCCATTTTCAATGGGAGAGAGATGAGGGGTCTTTCCTGCCAACCCTCTTGTTTTGCAATCTGGTAGGATGAGAAAGATTCATTGGTGCTTTCTACAATGAAATTACAATTCAGAAAAGAACTGTGTGTACACAGAGAGGGATGCTAGGTTTATTTCACTACAAGAGTAACCTAGAAGGGCTGGAGAGATGGCTCTGTGGCTCAGAGTACCATTTGTTGCTCTTGCGGAGGACCTGGGCTAGGTTTCCAGCATCTACGTGGGGGCTCACAACTGTCTACAACTCCAGAGGGTCTGATGCCCTCTTCTGACCTCTACTGGCACCAGGAATGCATGCACATGGTGCATATACAGACATGTGAGCCAAACACATTAAGCAAAAATATTAAGAGGATGCTAAAATCCTAATCCAGAGAGGCTTAAGCAGCAAAGCCTGAGCTCATGCAGCTATCAGTCAGGTCACGGTATAGCAGTGCCTGCAGAGGGTGACCCAGAAGTACTAGAGCCGATACCCCAATTCAGAAGGACTCATCTCTCCTCAACTTCATGGTTAGGGGCAAGCTGTATTGTCACACATGCGAAGTTTTGGGTTACACTTTATCCCATATTTCCATTATCCCTGTGTCTGTTGTTACTAGATGTCCCACAACGATGTAAACGCTAGCCACTAACACCAGTAAAAATGATACAAATCCCTTGTCTAGACTGTAGACTTGGTTGAGTCACAGACATGTCCCCTGAGTTTCTGGCAATACATTGTACCTCTCCTAGAACAGGACACACTGGAAAGCTGATGAGCTATTTCCTTTACTCTTAATGACACTATCTGCTCTTTTGATTTCTGTACATTTGTGAATCACTTCACAATTGCACTAGTAGAGTTCGGACATTAATCTTTCAGGTTCTGGTTTCTGCTGAGGAAGAAGAACCAGATTGCTGATTTGTTTCTATTTCCCAGGTGGTCTTTAACTGGACACACTCACTCCTTATGGATCTTGTTTCTGGATAGGTTAAAGCAGGAAGTGGTTATCTTTCAGACATTGCAGATGGCTTAACAGAGAACTGTGTGTATTAACTTTTAGACACATGCACACACACACACACACACAAACACACACACACACAAGCTAATTAATATCTTCATGACTAACACCCCAAAGTTTAAACTACGGAAAGAAATCGTGTGTGTGTGTGTGTGTGTGTGTGTGTGTCCAGGGGATGGGGCTCAGATGCAGCTTCTGATATTTTTAACATAAACACATATGCTATGAAAGTATGTTAAAAGATAATAAAAGTTATCTGAAAGAGAAATCTCATTCCTGTCTGTGTCCTTGTCTCCCAGGGAGCAGCTTTCTGTCTTCACGAGTTTGCTTGTTCTGGATACTTGATATGGCAGAGTCTGTGGTCTTGTGTGACTATTTTTTGTAGTCACAAAGTTTGTTAGAATTATGGTTTCAAGTTTAATCCATGTTGCAAGGTGGTGGGTGATTCAGCACTTCATGAAGTTGTTGGTAGAGCTCTAGCACATACACACCACATTCCCTCCATCCACTCATCCATTGATAAAAACTTTTATGTTCTTTCCCTTTTTCCTCCTGAACAATGCTGTTATGAGTAGCTATGTAGAAAGACTCTCTGACACCCCCAAACAAAAGTTCTAAGACTGAGTGAGTCTTTGTGTTCCCCACTGTTGTACCAGAGTAATGTGCCTATCCCTTAGTTCTCTACAGAGGTTCATTGCTTTCTAGACTCTGATGGGATGGGGCCAGATAGGTGGATTTAAAAGGGGGCAGACAGTGTGCGGCAAGGTGAGAAATATGTCATCTATAACCAGCAAACAGGCAGGTTTCTTTCTCAGAAAGCACTGGGAGACACCAGAACAGTAGGTGCTCAGACCTTCTGCAGGGCTTGCCTAGAAGGTAACTTCTTCACAGGTTCAGGAACATAGAGGAATTTTGCACCTAGACAAATGATCTCTGAACCTCTCAGTGTTTAACTCTAAGGATATGTGGATGTGATACCCATCTCAGAGCTGATGTTGAAATGATCTAATACTTTAGGAGGTGTTGAAATGAGATGTGTATGATTTGTGGGTGAAGAGGAGATGAATTCTAAGGGGCTAGAAGTGGATTGAATTGTGTCCCACAAAAATCTGTAACATTAAAGGCCTATACTGTACCCCTACAAAAGTTTCCAAGCATGTGGCCTTGCTAGAATAGGTTACACTCATAGGTCATGAAATGGTTTGTGGTCTCCTGAGTAGCAAAGTAGCATGATATGAAGGTTCAGACAAGGGAACATCACCACCTTACACTTCCGGATATCAGAAGTCTGAGATGTAGGTGTCAACAGGGATGCTTTAGGGCCATGATGTATGATGTTCATTCTTTGGTTTTAACTGGGTTTGTGGATACTGTTCTTTTTCAAACAGAAGAAATAAAAGTGTCTGAAGATGATGAGATGGAGAAACTCTACAAATCACTGGAGCAAGCAAGTCTGTCTCCTCTCGGGGACCGGAGACCTTCAACCAAGAAGGAGTTGAGAAAGTCTTTTGTGAAACGGTGCAAAAACCCATCCATCAATGAGAAGCTTCACAAGATCAGAACCTTGAATAGCACCTTAAAGGTAAAGCTGTCTCAGGCTGTGCTACCTGGGAGGGGGAGGGAGGCTGGCAGAGAAAGGCTGGCTGCAGGGAGATTCATGGCCACCTCAGAGTGCTTGTGTGGGAGGAGGAAAGAGCAGAGAGCGTACCATCCTCATAGTGGGGTGACTATGACCTTTTAAAAGCACCGGGCCACTCACACAGCAGCATCCGTACATAGCAGCCTTCAATTTTACGTTCGGTCTGATTCAAAGTTTGCATTCCCAAATCCCAGATGGCAAGGACGGCGCGTGATTTGCTTTGGTAATTTTGTGTCTAGCACAATACTTGGCTCTGGAAAGTTTTTTATTGTTGGAGAATTTCATCTATGCATGTAATATACTTTGATCAAATCCACCCCCATCCCCTCCCCATCCCCCTCCCTCGGCCGCTCTCCCCGTTCACCTTTGGGTGCTCTTGTCTTAAAACCCACCAAGTGTACGTAGCGCTGCCTGTATGTACGTGGGGTAGGGCCGTTAACAGGAGCATGGGCAGCCGCTCAGGGGCCACATCCCTGAAGTAAACTTACTGCCCTTCCCGCCTCCGCAATCAATCTTTTCAGCTAGAGGTGGAACAGTAGTGAGGTATTCACTTTGTCCCGCACAGACCACGCCCATTGGGGGTGGAGACAAGGGCCGACATTCCCTGGGGGAACTAAGTCTGAGGAGGGGGCTCCAAGAGCTCTCCTGCTTGCAGCACGGGGACAGGAGAGCATCGGGAGGCATCCTTGGGACCAGGAACCTGCTGGTGTTCATCTGTCTCTGTTGTAAGTTATTTCTCCCTGAATAAACATCTATTAGGCCTATTTGTTTCTCCTGAATCTCGTTAAACCTCAGTAGGAACATATGAGCCTCTTCTGGGTCCATGATGGGATTTGAGCTGAGTTTGGTCTTGTTCAGGTCTTACTGTTAGTTTACCTGTTCATGTCCAGAAAGTACTATTCCTTACAGACACCCACCATCATTGGCTCTTATGAGCTTTTGCTGATTAGCAACAGATAACAACCTTTGGCAAAGTCAACAGTAATAGAAATAAGGTTTCACCTGACTCATTCAAGGGCACTACCCCTGTGTGCTATTAGTCTCTCTCTCTCTCTCTCTCTCTCTCTCTCTCTCTCTCTCTCTCTCTCTCTCTCTCTCTCTCTCTCTCTGTGAGGCAGGGTTTCTCAGTGTAGCTCTGGATGTCCTGGAATCACTGTGTACAACAGGCTGGCCTTGAACTCAGAGATGCACCTGCCTCCCTACCGAGTGCTGGGATCAAAGGCATGCACCACCATTGCTTGGCCAGGAGTTTATATTCTAATTGTCAGCTGTAGTCATTACAGCTGAGAACTATGGTGAGAGCCAGGCAATGGAAGGCACACTTCTGTGGCAATAAATCAACAGATGTTGTCACATGGAAACAGAGGACAGTGTGCAGGGTGCACGGGAGCTATTTTCAGAGCTTCCCCTAATGAAGGATTCCTCACAACAGGGGCATCTTAATTTTACATTTAGTCTATAACACCAGCAGGTGGCGGGCAGGGCGCTCTGTAGTCATCTTAAATTAGCAGAAGATTCATAGGCTCTGAAAAGCCCCCACTGGAGTCTGTGATTTAGTTCTGAAGTGTGCATGTCCTTTCTCGTTAGAAATCCTGAGTCCTTTTTTTTTTTTCCAGGAAGAAATGTCACCAGCCATGAGGACTATACTGAGATAGCTGAGTGGGTATTGGTAGCCAGGCATCCCATGTTGTCAAGAGAAAAAACCAGGCACCACACAAAGGTGCAATAGTGAGGCTGGAAAGGACAAGGGGAAGAATGGTCCAGTTCCACAAAGACTCTCCAGGTTCAGAGAGATCCTCTAATAGTTAACGATGAAAAGACATCACTAACACTCATTTTGTGGTGTGTTCAGAGCTGTTGAATGTGTTGGGTTATTCAGTGTAATACACCAGAGAAGGCTGAGACTTTACCATCTTGCAGGATGAATGACTTCATTATTGGAGAGCTGTTTCCTGACTATTACTGTGTACCAGGCACCATCCTGGGTCACTGTGACCATGGAGTGGGATGCTCAGGATAATGGAGACAGGAAAACAGATGGTTAAAATGCAGCATGATAAGTGCCATTGTGCATGGAAGCTTTGAGAGCCTGAATAGCCCAGAGGTTGGAAGCGACTGAATGTCTAGGACCGATATGTTTACCTGACAGCTGGTCCATGAGTAGGAAGTTAGACTATGTGGAAGATGAGGGAAAGGTCCTCAGGGAGGTAGAGAATCTACTGGAGGTTGGAAGCAGCAGGAAGTAGAAGCCAATGGGGTTATGAGTAGCTCAGGATATTGTGTAGGAAGAGACTGTGACTCCAGATTCCATAGAGCAATAGACCAAAGATTCTAGACCTGACAATGTCCCACGTGCTTTGACAAAAGGACCAAAGGCCATTGCTAGCCTCTCTCATTTCCTATGAATCCTTGCTCTTCATAGTAGGTCATGGAGTGAATGATCTTGGTGACTTCTTTCCTTCTGGTAGAGTAGGTCTCGATGTGAACTAAATACCCTGAAGCTTGGGAGCTTCAAGTAAGAAACATTATTCCATTAGAATTTTTGTGGCTCTATGGTTTGGGCAAAGCTTGGACATGAGCTTCTTCCAGTAGCTCTTGTGTGAGCATGTGGTCAGACTGTCCTCCAGCCTATCCATTTCCCCACTGGGGAATGTCTGTTTCTCATCCCGATGTTGGCATTGACAGCATTCAGTACCTTGCAGCTTGTGGCTCTGGGCATGCCTGCTGTTGTCTGTCTGGTGAGTGGAGGCTGCTCTCAGGTTCTTGTCAAGTAGACTCTGTGGGGCCAGCTCACATTGAAAAGCTGACTCAGCCCAGCAAGTGATAGTGATAGCGAGTGATCAGAGCGAGTAAAAACCCAGTCCCCACAGCTAAGCCACCTTACTTCTGTGATGCTCTGTTAGACAGAAGCAGCCAATAATCTGGAGGAGGATTCCACAGGTGGATGAATCTCAGGAGGCAGGGAGTGGTGGGGGACATCTCACGGGTCATCTCCCTCCTAATCTATTGCTCTCTGCTGTGTAGAAGTTGTCCTTTCCATGGTTCACTTAGCCTCAGAGAAGTGCTGGAGGCCCATGACCCGTAGCTCATGCTATGTTGCCCAGTGATGCTCAAAAGGCAGCAACCCCCTGTCATGTATAAAGTGGCTGTGTTGAAAAAAAAAATAACAACAAGGTATATATATATATAATATATATATATATAATATATATATATATGGTCGTGTTTGCATAGCGCACACAAAACAAACCAAAAGGATAGCAACAACAAAATGCAACAACTCCCTATAATAAGAAACAAAATTAAGCCGTAACTTATTGACTGGATCAGTGTGTGTATGTGTTGTCATGAGCAAAACTATCATAATTATTTCTTAGCTATTGGGAAAGGACATAGGTAGAACTTATGGCTGTTTATAAAAGCTGTGGTCAGATTTTAAACAAGTATTCTGAGAATGTGTACTGTGTGTTAGTCATTCTGTCAGGCATGGAAGGTCAGTGGCCCTGTCAGACAAACATGTCGGTCCTCATGGGCTTTCAGTTCATAGGGGGATACAGAAGTGTGACCCCCTGTCATTTTAGGATGATGATTGATGGCCTTGAACTTGAGATGAGAGCACTGAACGAGTATGACTGTGAGTGACATTTGAGCTGTGCATGTGTTCCCATGGAGGTGGTAATGATGGGTCTAATGGTGAATAGGTACTTACTATCCACATGGCACCTGTCATTGTGTTATGAGCTAAGGATATAAGGCCACATGTCACCTGCCATTGTGTTATGAGCTAAGGATATAAGGATGGAGGGAATGTACTTTTGGTCATCTTCTTTAGGCTTGGTTAATTAATTAACCAATTAATTGTGTGTGTGTCTGTCTGTGTGTGTGTGTGTGTGTGTGTGTGTGTTTCTCACTCATGCATACACACATGGAAGCCAGAAGAAGTGACATGTCTTTATCAGTTTCTGCCTTTTTGCCCTCAGGCAGGTCCATTCATGGAATGTGAAGGGACCTTTCTGTGAGGCTGACTGTACTAGGAGCCTTGCAGACCTACCTGTCTCTGCCCTCACTGCAATGCTGAGGTTACAGGCACATGCAACTACCCTGGCCTTTTGTGTGGGTACTGCTGGTTCAAACCCAGATTGTCTTAGTCGGATGACTGTTGCTGTGATGAAACACCATGACCAAAAGCAACTTGGGAGGAAAGGACTTATTTGACTTATGCATCCATCACTGTTCATCACCAAGGAGGTTAGGAAAGGAATTCAAACAGGGCAGGAACCTGGAGGCAGGAACTGATGCAGAGGCTGTGGAGGGTGCTACTTACTGGCTTTTTCAGCCTGTTTCCTTATAGAACCCTGAACCCAGGTATGGCTCCACCCGCAATGGACTGGACCCTCTCATATTAGTCACTGATTAAGAAAATGCCCTAAGAATTTGCCTAAGTTTGATATTCTGGAAGCAATTTATCAACCAAGGCACCTTTCTTTTCTGATAACTCTAGTCTGTGTCAGAATGACATAAAATTAGCTAGTGTGCAAACACTCAAGATTGCACAACAAGGTGCCATTAGCCACAGATCCATCTCTCCAGCCCCTTTTAGGTTTTGGGGATAGATGTGGAAGTTGACTTCAGGGAATTCTAGGCTCTGCACTGAATGGCAGGAGAGCATGGAAATAAGACTGTGAGGCTCACAGTTCCCCACTGAACATGATAGCCCGAAGCAAGTACAAGTTAAGGAAGGTGCTCCAGGTAGTTCAGCATTTTGGAGGCATAAACCAGCATTGTGTGGGTGAGAAAACTCGGGCCAGTACTGTTTTACCATGAGGCAGCATGGAGCCAGAGGAGTATCAGACGGAGCCAGGTTCTTGAGAGCCCTGCACAATGAGGGAAGTCAGGAAGAAGTCTCGGCATGCATGAGGATCCCAGCATTTCTGTAGAGTGTGGATTTAAAGTAGAGGATCCTGGCGGGCTGGGTCAGCACTGGTCCAGCGTGACTCATTGGACTGCACATGCCCAGTTAGCAGCGTGGTTCCAGAGATGGAGAAAAGCCATTTGTGGTGAAATTATTCTAAGAATGAAGTGTTAGAACTAAGCCTCTGGTTAGGCTTCTACCTACGGATAACGACAGACACTCTACCTGGACGTTGTGAGGCCCTGGCTCACAGGCAGGATTTCTCACCCGGGGAGTGAATTAGGATCAAAGCCGGTATGGGCCAATATTGGGGCTCTTGGTGCCACACACATGCCATTCCCCACCCCTCCTGCCTCCTGCCTCCTGACAAGACCTCCCCTGTCCTCAGAGAGCTGTAAAAGAGAACCCCGCTTCTCCCATGTGGGCTCTGGCGCTCTTCACACAACCCTCCAAACAGTCTCTCTGGTACTGCCAGAATCCCTGCCACACAGTTGCTCCTCTGTCTGTCTGTCTGTCTGTCCACGGTGTTACAAGTCTCCTAATAAACTCCCCAGTCCCTAGTAACCTGTTTCAGTGCCATCTTGAAACACCTAGTCCCAGACCAAACCCAACAACTGTCAGGATGGAGTGATCCCCTTTTTGTAGACCCCGATGATATTTCTAGTCTATTCTTTTCCTTACATGTGAATGACTGATCGCCAGTGAAGCTGAGGAAGCGGCACTAATACGTTATTTTACCCGGCCATACATACTGTTCTGGTGGGAGTGAGGTACCTCATCTTTGAATAAGAAGGGAAAGCATAGTTTCATACATAAATATGTATGTTAATGGCCTATGACTTACTAAAGTAATTTAAAAATCTACGAAATTTAAAAAGCTGTGTTTTGTTGCCTTATGCCTCAGGTAAAGTGCTATGTTCCAGTTTTGCTTCGTGAAGTTTGGATGGTCAGTGAGGTGCCTGTGTGTACAACTAGCTAAGCTTCAGGGCCCAGTGCCACACTAAGATAGAGTTACCCCGCAGTGTGGGGTAATAGATGGGTCAAGGGGCCAGCACAGAAGACAGACTGGTTCTTTCACTAACTTGGGGAGTGAATACATACAGCTTCTTGGCAGCTTCCACATGTGAAGCGATATTGTGCCAGGCCTCAGGTGTGTTGAGATATTAGACTATTAATGTGCGAACCCACTTGGGTAGTGTCGCGGTGGACGGGTCCACATGTCTGGAAAGGGCTGAGGAAGTTGACTCATCAGAGTTCAGATGCTCATGTACTCACTGACGTCCCCTTCCTTCCTGTTTTCTCCGCCGTCAGTGCAAAGAACATGATCTGGCCATGATCAACCAACTGCTGGATGACCCTAAGCTTACAGCCAGAAAGTACAGAGAATGGAAGGTCATGAACACGCTGCTCTTCCAGGACATCTACCACCAGCAGCAGGTGCCTCCAGACCCTGACGTCGCCCCCCAGGAACTCAAGAACCCCAGCTCGTCTGACTGTGTTGAAAATTCTCTTTGAGCAGAAGCCAGAACTGCTGTCTTCCTTGTTACTGTGCCATTCTAGAAGACGCTGCCAGGGCATACGTTTTGCTTGCAAGGAAACACCAAACCCGGTTCCTGAGGCATCATCCCTCCCTGCTAAGGATGAAACCAAGTTCTGATGCGGTGGGAGTCCTGATTTCCATGTGTTGTGTTCATCAATATTGGAGTTATGGAGTTCATCCGAGCCGGCGTATGTTCTGAATTCCTGCTAGGAGCTGGTAGGGATGCTAGGCTCTAGCTGGGATGTGAAAAGGGTAACCCCTCCTTTGCTTTCAAGAGAATTACAATCTACCATAGACCAGCGGCCCAATTTTACTAGGGATAATAATGCATAGAAACATTCCGTTTTGCAGAAGAAACAAGTAGAATCCTGTTTGGTGGAGTGCAGAGTTCTGTAATACATTTCAAGTGGAGGCGTTTCTCCCACAGTAGCTACTGGAGCTGGACATGAGTTAGCAATTGTGGAACACATGGCTGTTCTTGCCTTTGGTACAGAGAGCGGTGCCTTTTCGACTTGTTGAGCACTTATTTGAAGAGTATGGGCTAGTGGGGTGGAGAGTGGGGAGCCCAGGGTGAAGGCATGCTTTTTGCTTCACTCAGAGGACACCTTCATATTTTCATACTTTGCCTGGGGTGGGGGGATCTGATTAAGGTGGCCCTTCTTCACAATGACGGTTGGAGACCTTCGTCCTCCAACCCCAGCTTCTCTGAACAGTGGTAGGAGATAGTAATACCCATCGCAAGGAATGGTATATTGTGTTCAACCTTGGCTGTGGTGCCTAACCCAGTATGAATTTTTATCCAGTTTTCTTGGGGTCCAAATGCTTAAGGCTATTTCTGAATTGTTCTGAACTTGGAAAAGAACCTAGACCAACAAAACGGTTAAACAGGATCATTTTAGTTTTGTATGTTTATGTGTGTCAAATAGTGTGAGATGTGAATAGCTACCTATGTTTCTTATTTAAATGTATTTATAGATGTGCAAATTATAGTGTTCTGAAAAACAGTGTACTATTATGTGTTGTTATATATATATATATACATATATATAATATATTCTAGAAGCATATCGTGTTTGCTTGAGAAAAACTAGACATACGAGTGACTTACTGAAGTTGTGTTGCACTATGTTATGTGAGGAATGCTCAGGAAATCTCATGAGAAAACTATGGGAGCATGTATTGATAATTAGTCATTTTCTGGATGCCTTCTTTCTATTCTCGCCCCTCCCTACCAGCTCCAGAGCTCTTAAATTTCAATGCCTGTTGTACATTGTTTTCTTAACTTGAACCTTAGGCTAATTCTTCTACTCATGAAGTTTAAAGTTTATGGCATTTATGCCATAAATCGTAGATCCAAATGAACACATCTTATGAAATCTTGGGCCAAATGAAATATAAGCAATTAATTCCCAGATAATATTAATAGAAATTAAGGATTGTTGTTAAAGAGATCTCATAGAGAAACAATATATTAGTCACAATGACATCTTCTCATAAAAATAACTATTATTTGGGTTCAGTACCTTTCCTGGGATGTAAATAAACAAATTAAAAATAATTAACCCCAATTCACTAAGAACCCATTTGAGTCTCACCTGCCCTTTGCAAATTATTGATATACATATCCATATCTTAGCATCAAATGCGGCTTGACAAATTCAAATAGAAGTAGCCACCTGATCTATATCTAGCAGCTGTTAGAAGGGTGATGCTCTGGGAGTCACAGTGTAAGGAAACATCAAAGGGAAAAAAAGTGAATTAGCAATGGAGCAAATCTCAGCGTCAATCTACACACTTCCATTACTCTTCCACCCCATCTCCTGCCCCAAGTTGCAGCTCTAAACACTTTTATTAGTCCTTATTGCTAAATTTAAATGTTTTCCTTTGGCTTCTCATTAATATGTGTTTAACTGACCTTTGAATGTATATTCCTTCAGTAACATTCAGCTCTAACAGCAACATTAGTCCATGAAATTCCTTGCCCAATCCGTAGGGCAATGTTTTCAAAGTAACTTCAAGAAAGCCAGAGTAGAAATGTCTGCTTTGATAGAGCCAACCTGCAGAACATTCCAGAGTCAGCCTCAGTCGTATCCTGGCCCCCTGGACATGAATGAACCCACTCCCTGTTTCCAATTTTGGAAATAAATACCTTTTCACTTTGTTATGGGTTCAGTTAGGAAGTAGGGGGTGGTGGCTGTGTGGATCCTCAGCCTCAGTGGTGGCCAGGAGAGGAGGATGAGGACACAGGGAACTGCCCAGAAGAACCCCAGTGCAGGAGAAACTATGATGAGCTCTCTCTTGGCCTCAAGTCTCTTCTCTGGTTCAAGATTTGGGACAAGTAGATCTCCTCCCATTAATTGCTGGGGAGTGGGTTACTGATAGTTAATGGGACCCTGAGGGAGTCTGCTGGCCTGTCTGTGGGATGTACGGGAACGATGGTTGCTCAGGACACCCCAGCAGTGGATCTTTGAGCAAAGTCTTTCCAAATCTGTGGTGCTGGGTAAGGATTAGGTTTCTCTGGGGACCGTTTTTTCTCAGTGCTGGGAGGACTTTCCTCTGTCCTTGCCTGAAGAGCCAGCCAAGAGCCTGGTGGGAGACCCTCCCTAGTTTCAAGGTTGCTAACATACATGGATCCCACATTCTTCCAGAATTTGGAGTATGTCTCGTTTCAGAATAGTTCTTAGTTTTGCCAGTAGCTTTAGTCTGAGACTAGAATGAAGAGTCCCAGAAAGATCCTGCAGCAAACAATTGCTAGGATCCCAGAGCCAGATTTCAGTGTGAACCCATGTCTTATATTTACATACCACTTTGGAGTTTGCAAATTGCATGTTCCAGATCCCCTTCCCCGAATCCATGGCCCCATAGGTCAATCAGGATGATTGTAACTATGGGTGTAGTGAAATGTCTGGCTCCAAGCCTCAAGTGGGAGAGCTGAGTGAGTTTGAACTTCAGCTCTGTCAGCCCTCTCTTTTGAGGAAATAATTTCTGGGCACAGCCTGCTGGGAGCAAGAGGTCTGATGGGCTCCTGCGTCCACCACGACAGGCTGGGCACACCTGGCTGCAATGGATGGATGGCTTTTTGCTAGATCCCCAGGAGCTCTGCTGTGAAAACTCCCTCCCTGATGGTCCTGCCACCTTGCTTCTGGGTTGTCCACAGACTGGGGCTTGACCTGATTGTTGTTACCTCATCTATTACAGTCTATAAAAGACACTAGTTGTTCCCACTGTGAGAACGTCAGAGCTTGTGTGTGTGTGTGTGGGGGGAGGCAGTATCTTTAAAGAGATGGAAAGCGTTTATTTTCTTATTTCTTTTTTCCTTTTGAGCCCACTCTTGCTGGATACAAGAGGGACAGTGGTCAGCAGTAAGGCCCCTCATACTCCGTTCTCAATTTCTTCTTATGTGATTATAATGATGCTTATTTCCTCAGGGAGGACTTCAGATCATAGAGATGAAATGAATTAAAAGAAAAATATTTTTAAGTCTTCTGAGGAGAGGCCCTCTACCAGTGAAAGCCATATTAGATTTTATGGACACCGACGTCTTCTTTGTAAAAAAAAAAAAAAAGAAAAAAAGGAAGACAATATTTTGATATAGCAATACAAATAATTTAGGTATAGGGAGAGAGTGACTGTCCAAATGTCACATTTTATTGAGGAGCTGCTGTGTCCAATTGCAGTTTTAGAATGTATTTCTGTTTCCAGCTAACAGAATGGGCTGTATGGAGGGGATTTCCAATTTATTTCCCTTCAAACACTTTTGTATATTCACCCACAGGAGAAATCATTTTGTCACACATAATGGTAAAAAACCCTTTATACTAGATTTTATTTCGCTCTCTGTGAAATGAATGGAGGACGGGAATGTCCCATTCACAAAAAGCCAAGTGTCTCAGCCACACCACGCCCACCCTGTCGAGCACGTTAAGATGGGTTGTGCATTTAAAAAGAAGTTTTCCGTATCTCCTGTTGTAAAGAAACTTAGTTGCTCTGAACTGATGTCTCTTTAGCTTTAGTCCAAAGGGAAGCATGCCCTGTGGAGACATTTAACATCCTGTAATGAAAACCATGGTTTATGTCACCACCCATTCTGATATTTGCATGGTGGGGCTGGGTTTGAGGTGCATGGTATTGGGGCGAGATGTGAATGTGGGGTCGATATCTTAACTGTCACTGTGTTTTTGGTCTTCGTCATGTATCTGTTTTGACTAAACTGAAAACGCGAAGGCATGCCTGGTTTCTCTTGTACCCTGTTCCCTGGAAAACTTGTAAGATACCGATAAAAGCAAACTGTCAAAAGTAAAACAGTATGAAAAAAAAAATCAAAATACACTGCTGGTGTTCATTTTCTGCCTTGTATTATTTCTTCCTTTTTGAAGACTAAAATAAACAACCCCAAATCAAGTAGACAAACTAACAATGAAAAAACAAACAAACAAACAAACAAACAAACAAAAAACCAAAAAACCCAAGAAAACCACTACGTTGTAGCTGGGTGTTGAACTTCAACAAAGGTTATTTCGCCCTCTGGTGGCCATAATAAAGATAACAGACTTAACAGACTCCAGAGTAGATGTGATTTTAAAATGAAAGCTAATGTTAATGTTGGGGATTTATTTCGGCACGAACCTTTGTGGTCTTTGTCAGTGTCTATCATTTTACAGGCCTGTTAGTACAATTATTTAAAAAGTTGTCATTGGTCCATGAAACCTGACTTGACTATTCGATCACATACCATTATTGGCCATGCACACTGTCTAGAGAATTTTTTAAAATGCAGATTTAAAAGTTAGAAGCTTGTTCAAATACGAACAAAAAAAGCATGTATCAAAAATAGAAGAATAGATTGTTTTCTACTTGTCCCCACCAACAGCAGGAAGCTGGCCTGCATTTAGACCTGTTCCAGACATCCTGGGTTGCGGGGTCCACAGATGGTGTAGTTTCCTGTTTCCCTCCCTCTCCCACAGTTCTTGCCTTTCCAGTCCAGTGCCATTCTCCTTCAGCTCCATCCTGTGTTCAAGTATTTCTAAGCACCCTCCCACCCCCACTCAGCCAACAACAGTAATGCCATTTTAGACCGAAAGCATCTAGGCTGGGGATGTGGTTCAAAGGTAGATTGCTTGCCCAGCAGGCACGAGGGCCTGGGTTTGATTCCTTGTGCCGCATAAAGTGGGCATGGAGGGGCACACACACTCCAATGGGAGACCAGAAGTTCAACATTATCCTCTGCGTTGGATTGCAGCCTGGACTACACAAGACCATGCCTCCACAAAAAGTATTAACACAGGGCATAGGGAAAGGATTAGCAAATGGCATAAACACACAGCTTTTTCGAGAACAACCTCCGGGTTTCCAAGTGCAGCTGTAGCGGCTTTTTTACATTAACGACTTACACGTGTTCGTTATCTCACAGCTCAGAGGTTGGGAAGCTACCTTGGGGTTTCCCTGTCTAAGGCCAGGCACATTTTGTGGAGGCTGAGAGGAGTTATGCCCTACAGCTTCCGGAAGTCACCCATGTCCCATGCCTCTTTGTCTGCTTCCCATGTCTTCCTAGTCAACAGTGTCCCATTTCTTTGTGTCCTTTTAATGACATCTTCCTCAGGCTGATTTTTTCTCAATGGACTTGTGGTCCCAACCTGTCTTAAGATCATTGGAGCTATATTTTCAGTATTCATTGGTCTTCAGTTCTCCTGCACAGCCTACTCACGGGTTTTGGCGTTTACCACAAATGTCCATTTCAAATATCCCACGGAGTACCCCTGTAGAAAGTTCCAGAAAGTCTGGGCTTCCAAAGCTGTAGCAAGCTTAAAGTTCATCAAAGAGTGTTCCTGGTTGGGAATATCCCTTCCTTTTTTTTTTACCACCACAGGTATACAGACAACAAAGGCAACAACAGCTGTTGAATAACGACATCAGGTGTTCACAGTGTTTGCCTGAAAGGACAGGAAGGCTGGCATTGTTGGTGTTTGACAGACGTGAGTGGTGAC